CCAAAAAAAAAAAAAAAAAAAAAGGATACAACCTTTGCTTAAAAGCAAACACCTTTAAAAGGGCTTTGGCTGAAGTAAATGGTAATGAAGTGAAGCAAAGCTTGTGACCATTATGTGGAACTATCTGGATAGTCTCTCTTTGGGTCCAGAGTAGTCACCCAGAGTCATTCATTGCACATTCCTGGCTCCAGACTGATTTTCTTGATTTCCCTACAATCTGATTTTTGTCTTCCTATTTTTTTTGTGCGTGAGATACATCAAAAAATGTAAAGTATCTACAATTCTCAACTGTTTTCCAAGGTGATGGTATCAATTTTCACTCCCACAAGCAGTTTTTGAAGTTTCTGCTGTTGTGCATCCTTGCCAGTCTATGGTATGGTTGGCTATGCTTTTTTTCTTCTTTTTAATGTTTTCTAGTCTAGTGGCTGTGGTTGCTGTTTTGCTGTTTAGTTTGCACTTCAATGATTACTAATGCGTTCAAGCACCTGTCTATATGCATGTGGTCCTTTGGATTTCCTTATGTGAGGTGCCTGTTCAAACCCTTTTGCTGTTGGAAGTATGTTTCATATTATTTCACTGAAGTTCTTTATTGCCAGTTTATTTCAAGGTGGTTTAGGACTGTGGGTCAGATCGGAAATGTGTCAATGAGTTCCTGACTATATTTGCTTTAGTCTGCAGGTAATATAACCCCTTATTCACACTGGCTTAAGGTAACGGCTGGTGGTAGATGATGGCTCAGTTATATTAACAGGGAGCCAGTTTTCTCTACCCTCTTACTCTTTCCTCTGCTTCCAGCACCATCTCATCTTCAAGGTGTTTTATCTTATGATTTCAAGAGAGCCACAGGTGGTAAGTGAAACTAATTGCTTCTTTATCCACGTTGAACAGGGAAAAGAATACTGGAAAACTTTCCATTGACCCACAGAATCTCAGTCCTTTCCTTTGGTTTTCAGGGGCCACCTCTTTGGAATGCCATGCTCTGATGGCTTACTGAGCATCCCTATTAGGATAAAGTTAATACTGGGGGCCAGGGGTTCTACCCCAGACAACCAATTCATGTACTACCAAGCCTGTAGGTTTTTAATTTTTTTTTTAATTTGCATAGAATACAACTTAGTCTTTTGGTACACACTCCTCTGAGTTTGACAAATGTATGAAGTCGTGTAACTACCATGGTCATTAAGATTTGGACCAATTCTATTCCCCCCAAAACTCCCTGGTGCTACCTTTTTTGTCGTCAAACTATCCACCTACCCTTAACCCCTCTTCCTCAGACCAGGAACTGCTGAGTCACTGATCTGTTCTTTGCCCTATAGCTTTGCCTTTTCCAGGATGTAGCATACATGGAATCATCCGGTATGTAGCCTTTTGAGTCTGGCCTCCTTCACTTAGCACAATGCCTTTGAGGTTTATCCAGGTTGTTAAATGTATTGATAAGTTTCTGTCTCATCAGCACCGAGAAGTATTCCTTTATATGAAAGTACCAACAACTGGGATGTTTCTAATTTGGAGCGATTATAAAATAAATAAAGCCACTATGTACATACATATCTAGGTTTTGTGTGAACATAAGTTTCTGTTTCCTTTGGGTTTCAGTACCCTTCTGTGTGATTGCTGGGTCATGTGGGTAAGAGTGTGTATAACTCTATAAGAAGCTGCCAAACTATTTTCCAAGGCGAGTGTACCATTTTGTATCCCCAACAGCAATGAACAAGAGTTCCTTTTGCTCCTACAGAGGCTTTCATGTATATGAAAGTGCTTTATAAAGAATGGGACTGTCTGCCAGTGTACCTAGGTGGGGGAAATCTGAAGAGGTATTTCTAAACTCTTAATTCCTATGGGCTCCCAGCCACCCCTTCTGAATGGGGGCAATTCCTTCTGTTTCTAGGTCCTTTGCTTCTCCTAAGGGGAGACAAATAGTCATCATTCTCCTCATTTTGCAAATGAGGACACTGCACTGCCTCTCGTGGTTGAGCCGGTCTGGCATTATATACTATGATCAAGAGCAAGATTCCCCTTGCCTCGTATTTTATTCCTGAGTTCACAAAGTAAAATGAAGTATGATCATTTGGAGCATTGTTATGCTATGTGACAAGAACGAAGCAAATGGACACATCACATGTACCATCAGAATGTCAGAGCTGGCAGGGACCTCAGCAATTCTCCGTTGAGAGATGATAACCTATTACGTACCCAGGTCCCCAGAATCCCAGCCCAGGACATTTTCAGCTTCATTGCATTTCCCCAGCTGTGTGGCCCCCCAGAACACAGGGCTGCATCCCACCACAGGTGGGATGCCTCAAGCTTATCAGCCCACAGTAGCTGTGCACACAGAGACAGAAAAAAGCCACATTACTGGGTGTGCCGTGGTCAGAGACCCTCTGTTTCCTGGCTTACATTCTCTGAGCCTTGGCTGCTTTCATTTTAGTGCCCGTTTCTGAGGCACCTTCACATTTCAAACGTCCTGAGAATATGTTTAATTAGAACTTGGCCATACAGCCTTTAAAAATAAAACAGAAGGGACCAGCTAATTATATCGCTCAGCATTCTGCGGCAAACATATATTTTTTAATAAAACACTTTCCTAACCAGAGTAATCCCTTGAGATGCAAATCCTCATTTATAAGAAGTTTTCCAAAGGGAGTTAAAGAGAAGATGCCTTATAAAGAAAAGAGACAAAGAAAATGGGGACGTGTTTTCAAAGAGCTTTTAAAAGATACCCTCATTCTGAGGGTGAAATAGTTAGTTTAAAGGTGCAAATTTATATTTCAGATGTCTTGTCTTTTTTCCCCTGTACTTTTGATAATGTATTTTCTTTTTTTTTTTTCTCACTCTCTTTTTGGTTATTACCACAAAGGCCCATATTTCTCCTTCTGGTATTTTTCCTAAGTACAATATTTAAATAAACAAGTGATTTTCTCAAAATGCACTCCAGCTCCTGCTGGTTCTCATTCCCGGCCTTGCTCTGTGAAGAACGCCCTCTCAAGTCTGAGCTTACACAGAATGGGCACAGTGCGGTCGTGTGGTCCTATGGGGTCTTCCCGCAGTCTCTGCAGCCCAGGAGGGGGAGGGGGGACGGGCCCCCCTGCAGTGTGTCTCCAGAAGTGGCCCTCTGATTGCCACATTTGCATTCATGAGGCAGCCCTGGTGGATAATAGCAATAATAGCGACAGCTAATGTTTGCTGGGGGTTCACTTTATGCCAGTCCGCACGCTAAGAATTTCAGGCCTCTTATCTCATTTAATTGTCCCAATACTCACAAAATGTAGGCATTCTCACCCCATTTTGCAGATGAGGGAGGCGAGATCTGAGGGGGAAAGGAATGCTAGACAGGTCTCATGGCTATCAGGAGGGGGTAGAACTTGAATCTGGGCTCAGGTCTGCCCACCCCAGGACTCAGCTCTCCAGCCTCCTGGTCCAGGGTCCACTGGCAAACACCACAAAGCTCAGAGACAGGACTTTTCCTAGACTGTGCTTTGTGTCTCTCTGTACACTATGAGACGCAGGCACTGCATTTTCAATTAAGTTCTGTGTCAGCCAGAATCCTGGTGAGAAAGAGAGGACACACTCAAATAAGGATCATTCATGGAAGATTTCCTGGAAAGACTATTTGCAAAGGTGAAGGGAGAGGTGATGGAAAGCACAAGAGAAAATGAACAGAACTCTTACTTCTCCAGTAAAAATTGGTTAAAGGAGGCCAGCGGGAGAAGATGGCAAGAGCCACTTGTAGCGGAGCCATGACCTTCAGGAGAGAGTCACTGCCTAAGAAGCCCTGTAGGGAGGTGACCAGGGGATGGCATACTAGACTGCCCTCTCTTCTTCCGCTCTCCTGCTAGGACTCCACATTGGATAAATTCCCCCAGAAGCTAGTGAGACTGCCACCCAGGTCGGCCTCCCGAGCACAAGGGATGGCGAGGCCTAAGGCATGAGACTAGCACAGATGTTATGCATCTTGCACAACACTCAGTGGGCCAGCGCTGTGCTGGAAGTGAGAACCAGATCTTAGGTCTGTGGAGAAGGTATTCGCTTGGCTGAGGGGGCTGAATGAGCAAGTGCAAGCTGCAGAGGGTGCTCTTGCAGAAAACCTGGGGTTCGCCTTGTGCATACCCAGAAGGGGCCCGCCTGAATGAACATGCCTCTCCACCTGCGGCCATTTCCCATCCTCAGGAAGACTCCTGGGGTCAGCCCTCTTTACTTGAGATAGAATGTGTATCAGTCTCTTTTACCAAATGCTTATTAAAAACAATTTAATTGGAAAGGTAGAAGGAAAGAGAAGTCACTCATCAGCCCATTCTCCAAAGACAACAACTGTGAATGGCTTGGCGTCACTTCTTCTGGTGGCTTTCCTCTGAGTGTTCTCTCTGGTTATGGTAACACTGTGTATGCAACTTTGAATTTTGAGTTTTTGGTTGAGCACTGTCACAGCTTGTTTTTTTTCCCCTTGTTATAACAAATCTTTGGTAAACAGAGTTTGTTTTTTTTTTGGTGGCATAATATTCCATTGTATTAATGCTAACATAGTTTGCATTATTCTGCAGTTTAGATGTGTGTTTTCTATTTTCATTAATATTAGATAATGCTATAATTAATAACTTTGTGTATAGAGATTTTTTTCTGTGTTTCAGGTTGTTTCTTCAGGAAGATGTCCCCAGATGGAGTTAGTCAGTGAAGGGCCAGCCACAGAATCGACACAACTTCGGCCATAACTGTAGTTGTTCAGTGGTGAGTATTCATAGGGCTGTCCCCAATTAATAACTGCTCCAAGGACTTTTCTCTAAACAGCACTGGAGTATAATGCAAGCCATGTGATTCTAAATGTTTTTGCGACCACATTTCAAAAGGCAGAAGAAGCAGGTAGAATTGATTTCAATAGCACATTTTATTTAATCAATTATATTCGAGATATCATTTCAACATGTAGTCGATACAAATGTATTAATAAGATATTTTACTTTTTATGTAAACCTTTGAAATCAGATATATATATTTTTACACTTACAGCACATCTCAATTCTGACCAGCCACATTCCCAGTGTCCAGAGATATATGTATGCCACTGTCAACACCTTCACTCAGTCCCCAAATCCTGCCACCTTTTTAATGCCTCCCTGGACACCCTTACTAGTCCTCTGAATGGACAGTGAAACAGGTGGTCAGGTATAACACGACTTTCATACTCGGGCATTTTTACCTGTTCTCATTCCTGCCTTGACGTTAGCCAATCACAGCATCCCTTCAATTCCAGTTTGTTTGATACTCATTCATTCAGAAATGTTTGTTATGCACTTCCTACATGTTAAGCCCTGGGCCCAACCCTAGGGATACAGGTGAACAGACAGAACTTTCTTGTAAAATTAAATCACAGACCTTGTCAGTGTTCTTAGGGCCTAGTGGGGCAGATAGACTTTAATCAAATCGTGACACAAGCACATGATTTCAAACCGTGGTAAGTGCTGTGTGGGAAACATACATTTAAAACTGCTAACTCCGAGTCCCAGCTTGAGTGGCTTGCCCCTGTAGGTGTTGAATAGAGGTGGTCCAATCCCTGGCCAGGCTGTTGGTGAACATTCATGGGACAGATGAGAGTGGATAAGAAGATCTTAAGGTCTCTTCTGGTACCAAGTGCCCCTAAGCAAAATTTCCAGAGTTTCTAGGATGAACAGCAGCTCACCAGGTCCTATGTCAGGGGTCCAGTTCATCCGTTGTGTTTTTCCTCTCCAAAAAGACTTGAGGCCACTGGAACATCAAAAATAATGAGGACGCAGAACGCATCTTATCCATTCCTGTGTTCACTGAGTAGTCTGTGGGATATCAGGCACTTGCTCTGGACATTCAGAGAAAGAAGACCAGCATTCTCTTTGGGCAGATTACACTGCCAACTGGGCACACTTTCCCAGAAAAGATAACCGTTTAAAGAAGAGGAAAAATCAATGCTAATAGAACTCCTTTTCTGGTTCTGAAAATGACATTGTCCGCGGTGGCCAATGCTTTGAACCTGTGGCTGCAAGGGAAGTGTGAGCCCTGCATGAATGCAATCTTGTGAGTGGCTCAAACCTGGCCACAGCAATAAATGCAAGGCAGCAACAGAGGCTGGAGCATGGAGTGAGGCTGGGTTCAAGGGGCAGACTGTACCGTTTCTCTTCTACCCCCTGAAACGGGACCAGGACCCTCCCTTCAGCCTCGAGTCCCTGGGGACTGGGTAATTTCAGCTGCGCTTGATGTAACCTATACATCACTGTCTTCTCCACCAGCTCTCAAATTAAACTCTGATGTATAAAGTTAAACAAAAATGAGATAAAAATTGGCAGAGGTTGAAGAGGGTCAAAGTAGTCAAAACACAAGGTAGACTATTGCTCCTTTTGATTTATGTTATTCTGTACACTTAGAAAAAATAAAATTATAAATCTCCCTGAGACTTTTTCATTGAGAATGAGGCATTACTAATTTATTTTCAATAGACTCCCAGGTTTCTCAACTGGGAGGAGCGCTGTAGCTATTGTTTCTAGTGAAGAGGCCCAGTTTGACCTAAAACATGGGCTGTGATGATGTGAAAGTATCTCGCAAAATTAGTGTCATTAGGCAGCAGCATTAAAGATGTTTCTGCCTTGCATGGGTCATGGCACAGATTGCAGTATCTGCTCTGCATTTTTGTATTTAATCCCCACAAACCCATAAGAGATGACACACAAAATTCATTGCTTCTTTTTTGATAGTTGAGCAAACGGAGGCTTAAAGAAAGCACATGTCTTCAGTCAATCCTAGCATGCCTATTAGGTGCTGGGATGCAGAAGTGAATAAGAAAAGTTCTTTCTCTTAGAAACTTCACCTTTCAGTTCAAGAGAAAGTAAAGGAAATGGCTACAAATAAAATATGATTATGAGTAGAATTAATTGTTGTCAGTGGGCGTGGTGGCTCACCCTGGGAGGCTGAGGATCAAGGATCACTTGAGCCCAGGATTTTAAGACCAGCCTGGGCAATATAGCCAGACTTCATTTCTACAAATATCAAAAAAATTAGCTGGGCGTGGTGGCACACACCTGTAGTCCCGGCTAGTTGGGAGGCTGAAGCGGAAGGATTGCCTGAGCCCAGGAGTTCGAGGCTACAGTGAGCCACTGCACTCCAGCCTGAATGACAGAGTGAGACCCTTACTCAAAAAAAAAAAGAAGTGTGGTGAAGAAAAGGAATTAGGATAAGGGAATAGAGAAACGGGTACATGGAAAACCAAAGGAGGGCTTGAATGATCAGATTTACATTTTTAAAAGATGGCAAAGACTGCTGTGTACAGATTTGACTTAGGGAGACAGGGTAAGATCAGAAAGACTGGTTAGTAGGCTGCACCCGGTGTCCAGGCAAGACATTGGAGTAGCTTGGGTGGATGGCGGCAGGGGTAATGGGGTGAAGAGCTAAGATCCATTTTGAAGACAGGGTGTCTAAAAGGGGTCTCTGCTTCCACTCCAGTGCTCTTTTCACAGCACAGCACTACCTGCAGCCGTATCCTGACCACAGTGTACCAGAATCCCAAGCAAGCTGCTTCTCTGGAGGGGAAAAAAGACAGAGGCTATCTGGGGAGACAGCACCAGCAGGAAGCAGGGGTTCTAGAGCAGAGAGTGCCTGGTCCTGGGCTGTGCACGTCTGTGTATGTGTGTCAGTTGTGATACACATAACCATTGTCGGCCTTACTCTTTCCAAGTAACTGGATAAGTTAATTTCCAGCTCACCTCCCTCTGTGCTTTCCTGAAGCTCCTCTAGTCTGGCTTTTCTCTCTGCCACTCCCATGGAAACCACTCTGCTCAAGACCATGGTCGCCTTCTCCGTTGTCCAGACCAGGGCCATCAGAGCTGCTCCAGGACAGATGAATGAGATGTATGAGTTTCCTGATACCGTGGTATCCCAGTGGGTGCTTGCCACCCACCTGCCTGGCACTCTGGGATGGATTTCTGCATAAATGTGACCTCTGTGGGTGGAGGCCAGGATGAGGTTTATGTGACTGCAAAGACAAGCCTTCGATCAATTCTCTGGTGCCACCACAGCTGCTGCAGGGCCCACCTCATCTGAGAGGTGTGATGGGTGCAGATGTGAAGAGTTGCTGTAGAGCCTAGCTCTGAGCCCTCTGGTGTCCTCTGCCTGCACATCTGTATGAGGCTGCAAGGCACTAGCCTACCCTAGACCAAACCTCACCAAGTTCTCATGGAACTCCTCTGAAGGTACCTCTATGTGCTGAGTTCTAGGGGGAGAAAGGACACCCAAAGAATAGAAGAGCTGATCTACTAAAGTCATACTCTTCTTGGGGACACAGGTGGACTGTGTCTTGCATTCCACCTGCAATTTGTCGTGGCCACTCAGCTAAGTGTTGGCCGATGGAATGTGAGCCTTAGTGATGTGCTCTACTTGACTAACCTGAAAAAGCCCCCTGGGAACACTCCGTCATGCTCTCTTCCATTTCACCAGCTGGGTGCAGATGACAAGGAGGAACTAGGGTAAGGTGGAGTCACAATGCAGAGGGAGCCTGGATGACCATATGGACATACACATCCACCAAAGACCGCCATGCAAGCAAGAAATAAACATCCACTGTATTGAACCTTTGCATGTATGGTTTATTTATTACAGCAGTTTAGCTGTTGATACTAATACAATCCCTGCTCTCACAGAGTTTGCAGTCAATTTACGGACACAAGACTCAGTCATGTAATTCAGGAACAATAGTAGGTAACTCAGAAGAAGAGGTGTGAACTTTCAGTTCAGAAGTCACAGGCTGCAGGCACCTGGGTATGTTTTTCCCATCTAAGCCCTTCTCTGGGAAAAATGGAAAAGAGTAAGATTGGGAGGAAGGCCGTTCTGGAAGGGGACTCATCACGATCAGTCAAGATGAGACCACCTGTATCAATTCTCCTTAGAAAGAAAAAAAATTAAAATGTCCCTAAATACTTAGTGCTTTGGCTTCCACAGGGATCAGAGTATCATAACTCCTCTCTGACTCGGCACACTGCTGAAATTTCCCGAGGGTGCCCCTGAGTCTGGATGTGTGGGGAGTTGATGTTGGCCTGCCTTTTTTCACCCAGCACCCCTTCTCCTGGTGAGGAACCTCCCTGCACTTTCACTTTACAACTGAGAATACTGAGTCCTGAATGTCATGGCTTTGCTGGTCACCCTTGACCCCCAGGCATGGCAGCATCTTAGAAGAAATCAGAGATATCTCCCCATTGTCAAGGATGATGGGCGCTTGCCATTGGTTCTTTTGTTCCTGGACAAAACATTCCCCTGTATCCTCAAATCCTCAACACACCTTCCCCTAGTGAATGATGCTGCTCAGAACCTCCCCCCACAGCCCCCACAGACAAGCATGATGGAGCAGGCACCCAGGACATGGGTTTTTACGAGTGCTGATTTTTTGACTAAGGACCGATTTTTACCAGTACTGTGGCCTCGGACCTCTTACTTCCTTTCCTCCTCCTCTATTCTTTCCTGACTACTTTTGTTAAATTAATATTCATTATTTATTGCATGAATTTTGTTCCCTATTGAGTCGAGTAGTGGACGATGGAGTTGCCTGATTCTTTCCTTTTTTTTTTTTTTCCCCAAGTTGGAGTCTCACTCCTCGCCCAGTTTTAAATTTATGGTAGAGATGAGGTCTCAAGTTGCCCAGGCGGGTCTCGAACCCGCGGGCTCAGGCCATCCACTCACCTCAGCCTCCCAAGGCGCGGGATGACAGGCTGAGCCACCGAGCCCGGCTGAAAGTAGCCTCTTAATCATAGGCCCCGACAGCTTCCTTTGTCTGCTTCATGATGCAGGTTGGTGGGGGCACCTTTCCTCTATGTCCTACAAGTTGTATGCATTTTAGCCCATGTGTTGATCTGTGTAACCACAGCCACAATCAGGATAGTTCCATCACCTTCTCCCTGCCTGACTGCCTCATGCTGGCCTTCTGTGGATATGCCTTCCCTCCACCCTGGCCCCTGAGGGCCACTGATCTGTCTGTCCTCCATCACCTCAATATTGTTTCTTCAAGGGAGTCATCGATTGGGTAGTAAGGTTTGTACCCTTTTGAGACTGACTTCATTCACTTGGCACAATGCCTATGAGATTCATCCCAGTTGTTTCATGTATTGACAATGTGTTTTTCTGTATTTCTGAGTAGCGTTCCATTGTATGGATGTACCATAATGTGTTTCTTCATCCTCCCGTTAAATAACTTTTTGAGTTGTTCCCATTTTTGACAATTATGAATAATGCTGCTACAAGCATTGCATGCAGGGTTTTGTGTAAAAAATAGGTCCTTATTTCTCTTGAAGAAACAAATATCAAGGAGTGAGATTGCTGGGTCATATGGAAAGTACACACTTAACTTCATAGGAAAGTATCAAGTCCTTTTCCCGAATGAGCATATCATTATTCATTACCACCAGCAACATATGAGAATCCTGTTGTTAGACATCTTTGTCAACACTTGGTATTGACAACATTTTTAAATGTTAGCCATCTTGGTAGGTGTATTGTGGTATCTCATCATGGCTTTAAGTTGCATTTCCCTAATAGCTAATTGTGTTGCACATTTTTTATGCGCTAATTTGCCATGCTTTTATCTTTTGGATGAGTATCTCTTCAAGTCTTTTGCCTGTTTTTTTTCTTTTTTAATTGGATTGTTTGTCTTCTTACCATTGTGGTTTGAGAGTCCTTTATATGTTAAAGATGCAAGTTCTTTGATGAAGAAGTGATTTACCTATATTTTCTCTCCATCTATAGCTTGTCACTTCATTTCTTTAACTGTCTTTTACAGAGCAAGAGATTTTAATTGTGATCTTGGATACCATCTTCAAATTTATTCATCTCCTTTAATATGCACTTATTGAGCACCTCAGTGTTAGTAGTCATTGGGCTTTACAAGACGAATGGGACTTGGTACTCAGGTAATTATTTGAGATCACTGCCCTTCCCCCAGAGGAAGAGGTATCCGGTTTAGACCCAGCACTCTGAGAGGAGCTTGGAGCTTCCTGAGATTTTTGCATCCCCAACTCTCTTCAATTTCAATCCTATGTAATAAAATCACCCCTTGAGCACACCTGTCTTACCCATCCCCTTATAAACTGCTTCTACTACCTAAGCATTGGCTTCCTCCTCGCCACCCAGGATAACCTTGCCTATACTTCAAAGCCCAGTGTGGATAATCCATCAGGCTTCTGTACCCAAAGCTTCTGTCTCTCTGTCTCATGTCTTCTCTTGTTATGCCACCTTTTCTGCCCAGCAGGTAGGGTGCATAGAAATACCTTAACACAGAACCTGTTAGAAAATATGTTTTTCATGCAAATTGCTACAAAATCAAGTAAGTCCCCAAATCCTAAGAGACCATCCATTTAAGGTTCCTTCCAACCCTGCTGTAGAAGCTTTAGAAATTCTCCTCAAGATGATTCTGATGAAAGCAGACTAGTTGATGTGTAGCCGTTCTCAGGCACTTCCACAGGGACCTTCTGAAGACAGCACCTTCAGCCAAAAGAGAGCCACAAAGGTTGGAGTTACAGGCACCTCAACAAGCCAATTAATGGAAAAAATTTCTCAGTGGGAAGCCTTCTGCTGTTCCGGGTCCCGCCACAGAATGGTAGCACAGACCTGGCTGCTAGTCCACGGCAGTGCCCTGGGTGGTTTCTAGAACAAGGGTCAACACAGAAAACTTGGTTCTGGAGTCCCATTTGCAGGCCCCGTTCCCAAATGTCGGCCTCTAATGGGCAACAGATGCCTCTGTGGTTTCTTTGAGGCAAGTGATTCATGTCTCTGCTCAGAAACGATAAGCAGAACAAATGTTTACTTAGACATAGAGCAGAGGGACAATTGGAAAACAGGAGACTGGCAACTGGAACTAGTTTGCTGCTATTTGATCCATGACAATGAGTCTGAATTAGTCATATGGTGCTAACTGGCCAAGCCTTTGGGCCAGAGGCAGAGCAGGGACTTGACAACTGGGCTTCCTGGAGACGGCATGTGTGGGAGGTGGGGAGGGCATGGAGAGGAAAACCTGTAGGCTTGCTCGGAGCACCTCCAGGTGACCCTTCCCCACCTCCAGAGGTGACTTGTCCTCACCACCTGCCTTACTTGATACCAGACCGAGTGCTCTAGCATGGAGGCAGGTAGCGGGGGAAACTCAACACACATGTGGCTGGTGCCTCTAACAGCCTTTAACACTTTTTAACACATTCAGAAATTAAAGTAAACAGTTAAACAGTTGGTTTTTGCATGTGCACATGGGAGAAATGTCTATGCAAATCCAAGCACCAACATTAATGAAGCACCTTAAGTTTTCCTTTGAGAAAAATCCCTTTCTCATAGTCCCATCTCTATAGAAGATCAGCACAAAGGAGTCAGGCAGGGAGAAGGTGATGGAACTGTAGCCTAGTTGTGGCTGTGGTTACACAAATCAATGCATTGCTAAAATTCATACAAATTGTAGAACGTAGAGAAAAGGTGCCCCCCATCAGCCTCTGCTTCATGAGCTGGAATTTTAACCTTAGGGATGGTGGTAATTACACATCGATGCATTCGAGAAAGAGATATGGATCTTGAATGCGGAACCTAAAAGTGGGGCAGCTAAGTAGGATTTTCAGTCTCGTTATGTTTACATAAGTTCAGATCTCGTAGCCTATATTATGCATATGCAGCATGTCCTCCTGCTGTCATCCTCAAATATATTATTTAGTAGATCTATCATAAATATTTCTATAAGAAGGAAGAAAAGTCAGATATATAATTCAATATTTTGGCCAAAAAGAGAGAAACTACATTTCTGTGAAGAACTTTTCAGACCATCCTTTGCAGAGTCAAGAGGAAAAGCAAACGGCAAAGCCCCCAAACCCGGCTCCCTCCACCCGTCAGGGGAGAGCCTCTAATCTCAGACGACTCTGGGAGTGTCATTATGGTCACCAGGAAGGTTCGCACAGTCAGAGGAGCCACCTCGGAGCTGACCACAGTATCTGCTGTTCTAACAGCAAACCTGATGTGGGGCTAATTGGGGCATGGAGGATGCTAGAACTCGCTTACTTCACAGGCGAATCTCTCCAGACTCACTGTAAAAAGTGTGCAGGTGGGATGATGTTCTCTCCTCTGCTCGCCTACAGCACCTCTGTCTGCTCAGGCTGAAGCGGAGGACTGGGGAGAGGAGGTGGCCTGGGGCGCCTGTGAGGGCTGGCCTTTCTCATTTGAGCGAACCGTGTTGGATTCCATGTCCCAGCCTTCTTTGCCTCTGGTCTCTGCACTTCAGTTTTCCCTTGAGAAAAGCACCTTTTTCATAGTCCCAGTCCCTGAGGTTTGGGGTGGTCTTTCCCTGCCTCCCCTGCCCCGCCATTCCAGGGAGAGCCTGTGATCCGGCCCGAATCAGCTAGCACCTTCCAGCCAGAAGGGTTCCATGGCTCAGTCTGGACTGCTGAGAGTTGGTGCAGAACTCGGGCCTGATCCCCAGGGCCGAGAAGCAGCTGTCTTGCTGTGATTGCTGAGATGATGGTAGGGTCCTGGCTCGGTGAAGGGGCTCTGATTTGCTCCGTGTCCAGCCATGCTGTGACTGCGTCCTCACGACATTGTTAAAGCCTCGGATCCATT